TCTCCCTGTCCCCACACATCTCCCTATTCCAGGCATTTCACATCACTGGGGCCACACATGTGGTTCTGACATTACCCGTGTCTGACGTCTTCCACTCGCATCGTGACTCCAGGCTGCACCCCGTCCCAGTGCATGTCAGAACGTCCCGTCTCTTTGTGGCCTGGTGGCATCTGTGGTGTGCACAGACCATGTGGTGTTTAGCCATCATCTGTGGATGGCTGGGTTGTCCCACAACGAGGTTTTAGAGGCTCAGTCTGGCCGTGAGGGGCACGATTGGCAGAGGGTTTATCTGGGAGCCACAGAAGGCTTGGCCAGCATCTGATCAAACAGCCACTTTTCTGAAACGGCTGGTTCAGCAGACGTCTGTTTGAAACGATGGGGACGTGCCCACGGCTCTGCCTGTGCAGGGACCTCGGGACCAGCCCCAGGCCCCTCCCTCCACCGGCTTCACGCGGTGGCCACGGAGGCAGATATCCCAAGCTGTGGACTCTGCTCTGTGGCCTGCAGGTGGCCGGCTCCCCTGGGGTAAGACACCCTGCTGCCGGCAGTAAGCACCCACCACACGGCGGGGCTGAGCCCCGTCCAGCTCCAGTGATGTGAGGGACAACCCGTGTTTCTGGGGCTTCCGAGAACGGCTGGCTTCTGTCCGATTCGCCAACGACACTGCGTCCTCGACCTCCCGGCTGTGTGGGTCCAGGGAATTCCAGGGGGTCCCCAAAGACCGCTTCGAGAGGAAAGTCCGCTCACCCCCCAGGCCAAGGGGTTTGCCGGCTGGAGTTGCGGCCCCTCCTCTGAGGGAGGGGACCTTTGGGGAATGCTGAGTCCAGAGGCTCGGGGACCTGCCCGCTCCAACAGGAGGGCGACAGAAACAAGGCTGGGGTCACACAGGCCACACGGAAGGTCCCCGAGGGGTCTGAAGGGGACCTCAGCTGCTGTGTGAACCTCAGTGAGGATACGACAAAGGAGTATTAAGAAAAAACAGATGACATTCTCAGGGACACAGATGGAATTGCTAAAATAAAGGTAATGCGAGGTTTGGACATCGCCAGCAACAACGCAAACCCTAAACATGCACTTTCCATGGGACCCGGCATTCATCCCCGTGAGGGGGACTCAGGTCTGCCCCAAACCGTAAACCACGGTTCACAGCAGCTGCCCCCATCGTCGCTAAAACACCAAACCCCCACCATGTCCCTCGTGGTTCAACAGACCGTGGCATATTCGTACCATAAGATCTTGTCTTTACCACAAGGACTCGGGCTGGTGCCTGAGGATGAGAACGCAAGGGTGCAGTTTCAAGTGCTCCCAGAGGTGTCTTGGAACAATGGCGGGTGCAGTGTCAAGTGCTCCCAGAGGTGTCTGGGACAATGGCCTGATGATCCCAGGCCACAAAATCGGCCGCTGGAAACCCGATGAGCGCAGTTCTCCTCTGGTCCACAGGGGGGCGCCGTGAGCCAGACTGGAGGAACTGGTTCTCATGAACCAAAAGGAAACCAAACTCACTGCCCTGAAGTCGGATGTAACTCCTTGGGTTTCCGAGGCAGTATCACTACGGAAGTAGATGGCCCAATCTCCTTCTGAGGAGTGGCTGGTGGGTTTGAACCGCCAGCCTTCTGGTTAGCAGCCAGATGCCTTAGACACTGTGCCACCAGAGCCTGGAGACAAGGAAACA